CATTCGAACTGGAGGGGGTTTAGACGGACCCGGTCTAATCGGTGACATTTGACGGCCAAAACACCAATCATCTTGTCGGGGTTTCTAATGGAGTGCGATTGGTTGGATTCACTTGAAGTTACGGTGGATTCACTTGAGGTTACGGCGGATTCACTTGAAGTTGAAAGGTATAGTTTGTTGTGACTGAAGCAAGTTTCGACGGAAAACTCTGGACCGATGCCAACGCATCTCAGTTTAACGAATCGAGATGTATTTGTCGTTCACCTTTTTGGCTTGATCGCATTGTCCGTTCGTTCATTTTGTTTTTGTCAATGATCCTGCCAATTAAACAATCAAAAATTGCACTGCTCTTTTGGCTAAACTCCTGCTCTGGACCTCATTCAACCGAAGCACGTAAACGCGCCAGCGTAACACTTGATTCCCCCTCCCCTCCGCCGTCCTATCCCACTTAGTTTTGTTCTACGATGCCCGGCTGGCAAAACATGGTTACGTCGCGTCTCAGGTGGTCGTTTGGGACGAGATGGCAACAAACGGTATCATACATACCATCAACGGTCTGCCGGGAATTCCGACTGAGAAAATTGAAGACTATATTGCCCGAAATGGTCAATTCTCGTAAGTCACTTGTGTGTGTGCGTGTGCGTGTGCGTTTGCGTGTGTGCGTGTGTGTGTGTGTGCGTGTGTGTGTGTGCTCAACTGTCTNCAACTGTCTTGCTATTGTTATTTTTTCTCCCTAGAAAGTTTGCGGCCTACCAGTTTGTGCAAAATCTAACCCTCGGTGCACCGTACACGTTCTGTGCCCCGACCAACACTGCCCTATTGGCCATGGAAGGCAGCACCACCGTCGGATTGGTATTGCTACAGAACCAGACACGACGAGAATACGTAAGTGACCCGCGAGGAGTGGGTGGTGAATTTGTTTCTGTTTGGTGTTCGGTGTTCATAGTCCCGGTCAGTAAAATTTGCCTAGAATCACACTGGTGCTTCCGAATGCCACTCATTGACATACATGCACACAGACCAATAGATCTACCCATTTTCTCGTCAAGCTTTAGTCAACACCCACAATCGTTTAGCCTTCACTCACACCATTTTAGCCAAAACCCGCATTGCTTTAGCCATAACCCGTAGTCCTTTGGCCTCGACGTACAAATAACCTTTAGTCACACCGCTGTAGGCGAGTCAGATAAAAGAAATCGGAATATTCTGGTGAGGTCAAAAAAAATGTTGAATTGAATGTGCACGTAGAGGTGACGATTTGAAAGACGTTACAAAACACCTCGGCATTAAAATCAAGACATGTTATACTAATGCAGCAACGGATCTTGAGGTAACACTGAAACCTGGATCTTATAAGAATAAGTTCAACAACCAATTCACAAAACATTTGTGTGATGTTGTTGATGAGAGCCCTACAACCAGCCCTACAACCAATTAAAGGAAAGAGTGGAGAACTTCCTGGGTACATCTATCAGTAGCACTTTGACTGTCCGATGGCTGCATGGACATCACTATCCGGTTAAGAAACTGACCATCCATCCTGTTGAACGAGACTCGGAAACTATCAACGTAAAACGGGAGGAATATGCCGACTAGTTACAGAGATTGGGCAACGCAGGACTGAGGCTGCATATTGACGAGACCAACTACAACACATGGTGCTGTTGCAGCTATGGACGGTCCAAAGTGGGCTGTAAAGCAATTAGAAGCCTCTCATGCAGCAAAGGACCCAACTTGAACATTTTAGTATATTCATCTGCCGCCGGTATTTTGGAATATGAATATCATCAGACATAAATTGGCATATTTTCAATGGCTTTCTGTCAAGCTGCTCTAGTTTAATCGCTGCTGAGCAACCGGATGCCCCAATAGTTCCAATCTTTGACATTGTGCCCGTTCATCGGAGAGTTTTGCATGCGCAGTTACACAGCAACCCCCACATTCGATTTCTTCCACCATACAGTCCCTTTTTGAATCCACTGGACGAAGTCTTCAGTAAATTCAAACAGATGAGCGCTTTTAATCCTTAAATTCGCTAATTAATTAGCACATTTAAAACTGGTTCACTGAAAACGCTGTATCCATACGAGATATACCAAATGGTTTGACGATCTGGGCACATCGTTCAGACCTACTCCAAACAACATGTGGTGCGGCTTTTGATATCGTTAATAGAGTCAACTGCGCAGCATACGCTTGCCACATCTTATTTCTTACCCAAGCTTTGCAATATCAAAATTTGTGAAAAATAATAATTTTTTTCGACATTTTTTGACCTCACCAGAATATTCCGATTTCTTTTATCTGACTCGCCTACAGCGGTGTGACTAAAGGTTATTTGTACGTCGAGGCCAAAGGACTACGGGTTATGGCTAAAGCAATGCGGGTTTTGGCTAAAATGGTGTGAGTGAAGGCTAAACGATTGTGGGTGTTGACTAAAGCTTGACGAGAAAAGATGTATAAATGGAACCATTCTTCTCTATATTTTGTGTGCGGACACGCTCGATTCATTGGAAACCATGCGTCATGGTCTGCGTGCAACCATTAAAGAGAGAGAGAGAGCGTGTTTTGTCATCTATTAAATGTTCGCGTGCGTGTGTGTGCGCGCGCTTGTGCGCAACCGGGAGTTTGGATCGAATTCATGAACTCGGTGTGGCAAGCCACCCAGGTGTTGCGCAATTCAAATCGGATCATCTTTTTCTGTTCGATTGTTTGTATCTATGTTTTCTTCTAATTACACATTGTTATGTGATGAAGCATAGGACGATGAATATCCGTGGCCACACCAAGAACTACAGGTGTTGGCCAAACTCGTGCAACATCACTCTAGTTTTCGAAATTTCAATTTCAGTCTCCTATATCATACTTGTTTAATGATGGCTATGAGTAAAGTGTATTTATTCCTGATTTTATCTCCCTCTTCTATGTTCTCAGATCTCTTAATTCTATCACTGTTTGAATTTGCGCCACCTTGAGTGCGGCGATAAAATTTGTAGTAGTTTGAAAGTTACAGATCAGATTTAGAAGGTATTTGAGGCAAAGCAAGATGACAATTCATTATTTTCAATAAACGATTTCTGTTCCATGAGAGTGATTATTAAGTTGAGCACACGTATTCTAAATTACTTAGCTCTTTTTATTCAGTGCACAGTAAATAAGCAAATTAATGAAAATATTATAGCTTAAATAAATTGGTAAATTATTTAGCTATAAACTACTTACGCATGATCCAGAATACTGAAAGAACTCAAAATATAGTCCAAGAAACATAGAAAATGATCTTCGAAAGTTGACCTTGAGTTGTGCGGTTCGTTGAACAAGCGTCTTCTAGTGTCACTATACCCAAACCGGATAATATATTCAGAAGGTTTTGGCCTATTATCGAAGCCTAGAGGTAACTTAATCGAGAGGCATATAAATCCGATGACTCAGTTGGTGTCTTGTGGAAGCGCCTCGATGTGAACATAAGTCCAATTTGTTGCATATTCAACGAAATTTCTCCATCAAGACATAAACCGAGATTGAGAAAACCGATCATATCAAAGCAAAATGATGGTTGTATTTGATCGCAGCAGAGAAGAGTTGCACAAAACTATCATAAACAGGGATAAGTTAGCTGCCTCAACATTGGTCGTCAGTGGTAAGGGTGCAGCGTGTATTGGAGGAAACTGGAAAATTCTGTTGGGCAGTCAGACTGGTGGACTCCGCGCTAAAGCGACTGCCTCGAATGCTCAAAAATGAAGAAGGGCAAATGGAACATGGACAAGATGAAAGTACAATACCTGTATAAAGTATATGAGTAATTTTAATAAATAAATTCTAGTCAGATTTTCTACTGTGCCTTTGTTATTCTACACCTGATGCATCAGCAACCGGCATTAAAATCGCGAAATCGTACATTTAATGATATGTGGCTCATAGAATTAAAGACATAAGTGGGTATTATATCAGATACGTTGCGTCTGATGTGGGGCAATATCATATTCAATCCCGTGAATGAGGCTGGAAACACGAAGCATTGAGAGGAACAAATGTGATGAAAATCAGGATGTTGCACGAGTTTGGTCACTACCTGTACACTGTTCATCCATGATAACAAGGATTTGAAAAACTCTGGGACCCAGAGTCAACAATCCCTTTATATGCTTCATTGGAGTCAGACGACACAGTACAATTGCAAAAACACCGTTTTTGGTTGCATGAGAAACAATCCTCAAAGCCCTTATTATAAATTTCGTTGGAAACATTCAAAAACGTTGATATTATTGTATGGCTCTCATCCGTTAGAAGTTTTTAATATCTCCACAGACATTTATTTGATTGGCTGTGGTGTAATGAGCGAGCGAAATAGAGTAGCAGGCAGTCACGTTTCGTTCCTATCCGGATTCCTCGGTATTGAGCAATTCATGTAACTTTTATAACAGTCAGAAAAGTATCTGTGGTAGCTTGATTTATCTGTCTGTTTCAGATTCTACCTGGGAAAGAACGATATTCACGACTTTCAATGAGACGGTGGTCCACCCGGAATACTTTCGTGGTGATCATCACACTATGAAGATCGAGTTCGGTCGACTAAAATCCCTATCATAACCATTGAAAAAATATACCGTTTTTTTTTAGCGAACTGGGCAGTAAACACCTGGCATCTTATTTGCACAAATGAACCAAAAACGGCCCCCCCCCCCGGAATTTTGCATTACCCGTTGACGATACACAATCCCAATACTGGTTAATAACTTATATTACAACCTCACCAACTGTCAAAGTCATTTTAGTGATTATTGTATGGTCCGGTCCTTAGTGCAATTTCACTCTCAAGCTTCAGAGTCCTGAATTATCCTCCTTTCCTCGACCCGCGTATGCCAACGGTGTTTCAACCGTTTTCCATTGGATACCCATGGATACCCAATAAACAACCTAGTCAACAGAGACAGGGGGAGAGATGATTCTGGTATATGGTTGTTTGCCGAACAACCATTTGCACAATTAATCTTGCCCCTTAGATGTTCATTCGGTGGACTCCGGTGATTACTAAGGAAAACCTGTCTGCATACATGCGAACTGTTAGATGTCATATGCCTATCTGTAAGTTGGATAGGTAGTAAGTCAAATGTGAAAAGATCAGTGCTTTGTCGATGTGGCCTCGTAGCTCACTCAGTTGGTGGGGAGCATTTGCTGTACAAAAGCGTACGTGGCGTCCATGCGTGGGTTCGAATCTCACCGAGGCTACTGAACTTTTCATAATCTCAACATAAACGCTTCAATCGGCCAAACAACAATTTGCAAAAGGACGTAAGACAGTGAATACATGAGTGAGTGAGTGAAAGATTGTATGAGTTGACAAAGTATTGCAAATCGGTTCTCCTAGCTGGGATAAACTGAATTCCTTTTCACGTGTTCGCCGAGCTTGATAATTTGTTTGCAAACATGTTGTAAGATCAGTTTGCGACCATATGGATCAGAGCATATGGTACCCAAGTCTCTCACGAACCGATCGCATGTCCATGGAGACTCCTTTCAAAACCAAACGCAAGATCGATGAAACAATGTTACCTAAAAAAGAAATTTGCAAGAACAACCCAAAACACTACATCGGACAAACTGGAAGAAAACTATCAACAAAGATTCGTGAACACTAATCGGCGTATAAGTGGCATGACCCACTATCGTTGATCTTCTTCCACAAATATTAAGAAGGACATTAATTTGACTTCGAATCATTGAAAATTATCCACCAAGCCCGGTCAAAATGAGCCCGAGAGTTTCTCGAGGCTTAGCACTTTTCAATCAACTCAATAAACAGGCACATCGAACAGGATCACGTGTACGCGTTGATGCAACTCAGGGATCACGTAACGCAACAAAAGGTAACTATAGAGAACAGACCAAAACCGTAAGCAAGACGCAAGAACACTCCCATACACACCTCTACCCTCACCCCCGCGCACCAGTTCAACCGTGAACCGAGTCGAACACAGTGAGAACAAGGGACAAAATTGGTCGGTGGAGAAGAACATAAACAAACGAAAGGGTACAGGCGAAACGTTGCCACTTCACAAGCACTGACGATGTCACTTTGGCTGGTGTGATGAAACGTTTGCAAACAAATTGTCTAGCTCGAATGAACAGGTAAAATGGAATCGAATGGATAAGTGTTGACCCCATATAATACAACTTCCATTCTCTCTGCTCTCCTCGGAAGATGAGCACACATATCACTCGTAAAAAACAAATTCCTGGTAGAACGCCGTTATACAATACACTTTGAATAACAACTATATATCCCCTGCCTGAGATCGAGAATCATGGTAACGGTTCCATTTTGTCCGGGTCCTTGTTGAGTCGACTAAAATATATTCTCTGCTGACAAATACACGCTAATCGTACATCACCAAACCGCATATACTATTTTCGACGTCAGCTTATGATTTGAAAACCAGTCTTGGGCTTAAATGGTCGCAAGTTCGGAATCGTGCACACACTCACAAACCCCATTTCACCATGCTCGAACCATACACAGATATTCCGGCGTCACGCATTCCCGATGCAGTTGCTCCTGGAAGATCTTCAATTGAAGTCCTATGATGTCGCGACTGCAAACTACGCGTTCACTCGGGAAGAGATTCGACTGACAGTCTCATCGGCCAACAATAACAAACGAGGTATGTGCCCGTCTCGCATTTTGATTGATCTATCCTCATTTCGTAATCCGTCCACAGGTAGTGGATGAACATGTAATTTTGGGTGTTTTCATCCTCAAGCCGTTACATCCACGTTTATCTAAAAATAATTATAAAAGTTGCGCTCTGGTCGGAACTCATCAGTAGTGTATACCCACCGTTCTGTCCGGGGTTTGAACTCCGGACCCATCGGGTATGGAAGACGTGTGCGTTACCACTGTGTCAACCAGCTCATACCATGGCTGAACCGAATTACCAATTCATGTTCATTCAGATTTCGTATTCAGTGATAGTCAGTCAGTTCATTTGGCCCGATAGCAACGAAGGAAGATACAGATGGTAATCTGTTAACTCCAATCGAAAGCCTCCCACCAAGTCAAGACTTCCATGCAGGTACGGACTGATTCGCCAACTAACCTACGAGGCTGTATTAATATTTTGCATTTAACTCGCAGTTACCGTGTGAGGATGACTAACTTCAAAAGCCTTTATTGGTAGGAAGAAATGAACGGATGGACACAGACCTTTAGACATGAGTTATAAACGGTGGTAACGCAAATGCCTTCGATGGGTCCGGAGTTCAAATCCCGGACGGGACGGTGGATATGCACTACTGACGAGCTCTAATAAGAGCGAAACTCGAGTCTAATGCTTCTGAGTGTATGCTTGAATCGATTAACTGAGGATTGTGCGTGAAAGTGAGGTCCGAAGCATAGTCATTTCAAATCACTAAATAGAAATTATCCCACATCACTGTTCACAATTAACTGTCTGTTAAATGTGAATTATAAAAGTTATGTAATCTAGGGGAGAGGATTCAAACTGTCGAATTCAATGGATAATGACAAAGGGGTGGGGAAAGGACAGCTTTCCTTTCAATTTTTTTCAACTTCAATTAGATCCGTTTTAACCTCAAATAACTGCACAAATCACATCCGATTGGCATACGTTATGAAGTGGTTGGATCGGGGTAGTCTCAACAGTACCAATGAGGGATTTCTTCTTAAACAATTAAAAATTACGTTTTGGCGGTGAATGTCGAACTTCTTGGCGGAGGGGTGTCTGACTGTTCATCTCCCCGCTAATCAACCTTATGATCTTGGTCATTGATCAAGCGAGGCTTGGACGGGATTGATGAATCTCGCTCAATCGGATAATCATGTGAATCGCGACAAAATGGATCGATGATCCGATGGGATCAGGGTGTCTCCTCTGTATTGATTGTAGCAATTGGTCGATTGGGTGGTGTACGCTTGTACTCTACCTGTGCTGAGATCCCAATATTATAAATCCAGAAGACCGTGCACGCACGAGGATAGTTATTTATTACGATTAACGGTCAGGGTATCGGTAAATTAACATTCATACAACGAAATGTTTCATTTAGAACCAGTCTTTCGAATTCTCTCTCTCACACACACTGAACCGAGCCTTTCGTTCCAATAGGTCTTGTTCATTTTTGACCGTTGAAAAAGCCGCCAATTCTTTTTCTTCATCTTACTTCCTTTTATTGAATACACAGTGATACAATTTTCAGGAACTGGGAAGCGGCCAATCAAAAGGCTGCCGTGGGGAAAGTCAAACGGTGGTGGTGGGATTCGAACACACGTTTCCCGAGGTGATAATTTGGTGACGCCACCACCGCCCATCCTTTTACGAACTATTCACAAATGTGAATGGTACATCACAACACTGGATCTGATCGTCAGTTGAGTTGATGGAGTCGTACCCAAGTCCGGTGAAAACAAGTGTACAGTGCTTCCCGGTTTTTCAGTTCACGCTTCCCTTTGTGCGTGCAAAAGGAAATCCACCATGTAATGAAATCCCTCTCGCACATACACACAGGAAGCAGAAATCTCGTATTCAATCCACACTGGTTGATGGTAATGGTGGTGCTGGTGGTAGCGGTGCTGGTGGTGGTGGTGGATGGTGGTAGTGGTGATGTTGTTGGTGGTAGATGATGGTGTTGATGGAGCAGTCGGTGATTTTAACCACCTGTCCACCACTGCCCGGAATCAGATGAACGTCATCATCACAAGGACATTACATATCAATTTTCTATGATCACGATCAAAGTTGCGGGGCTCCGATTTTGAATGAACTGGTCTGGGAGCGTTGATTTGTTGAGGAATTCTGTCGTCTTCAACCAATGTTTCGCATGTGGCTCATCAACTAACTGTACCGCTGTTCCCACCCCTTGGAAGCGTAAACATCTATTATTTTGGGCCATACAATAAATCACTGAACTTCAAGTACTAACTATGATATGATGTAATATTTAATTTCATATTTTTAATAAATTCGATCATTTTAGAATGTTTCCTGCTAGCGGACCGTTTGCTGAAATGATTAGCAAATCAAAAATTACCTTTGCCTTTAATTCGATTATTTTATTCTTACCATTTCAGTGGGGACTTTAACTTTTCAAGGTCAAACAACCGAAATCTCTACGAGTACGGGAAGTTTGGAATTCACAAACGGATGGCTGTACACCGTGGACAAACTCCTGTACACCTCCGCTGATCTGACCAACAGCATGTGCAACCAAAGGGGTTGTCCGTAATGGATGGACATTTGAACGGGACCTGTCGTGCATGTATGCATTCATGTCCAACCGCCTCCAAACGATTCGCTGTGTTTGTGTCACTGGTTTCGTGTGTAACTTAATCACTTTGAATATAGTTTAACTAATCGATTTTTTTTCGAACTCCTCAGTTATGTATCTCGTTGATTCATCCTTATCCACAAGAATGTATGCAAACATACATCATAGATTCGGGGAGGGAGGGAGGTTGGCTTCCAAATGGAACTTGCATGGTTTGAGTCCCATCATAGAGACACAACTAGTACACACGGCTGAGCATTCCCAGCAGAGGAAAAAACAACTCTGGTCAATGTTAAAGTTCATCTGAACCATTGAAAGGCCTGGTACGTTTCATTTATATTCCATTAAGAAAAACCAAGCTCTATCTGGAATAAATTCAAGTAAGATTCTGAAGAAGTATATAACAACTAAAACCAACGGAAGTTTGCCTGATCAAGCTTATTGTACCGTGTATTTCAAAATTTCTGCACACTCCCAAGGGACAGCTCGGCTGTTCCAGTCTCATGCCCCTCCTACCAGGATTCGAACCACGAACCTTCCGGTGGAGAGTTTTCATGTGGGATCGATCAGACTACGATACCTCATCACAACATTTATACAGCCTACATCAACCGGATCGCATATTTTTATGTGGGACATCTGAGACTTCCGCGAATAGCTGAGCGGAAATGCAAAACTGACCACCATGCACGAAATACTCGTTTGAACTGTCAGTGAATAGAAAAATTGCTGAAAACTGTATCAAACAGTCAAGTTAACTAACTGGTCGACAATGTAGCCACACACACACACACAAGGCTCAGTCCAGGCAAAAATGTGATACAAGATTGTCGTAAACCGTCGTCTCTCTCTCTATCTGTGTGTGCGACTGAATGTTTTCAATGTCTCATTATCACAATGCTGAGGTATACGACTATAGAAAGTTGCTGCAGGGGTGGGGTGGGGCGGGGCGGAGAGCGCGCAGAGTCCAATCTTGCACACAGCAGTTAGGAATGATTCATCCTGACTCATCCTGTGGCAAATCATCAAGTTTCTCCCCCGGTACAAATAATTCCCGACATATTTGACAAATGCGCGATTGTATGCATGTGAGCGCACGCACACACACACACGGTACAGGGGAAATAAAATAAATAGTGTTCACCTGTGAGACCAAGGCTTATCTCCCTTCCCCGTCTCATACATCCATTTATATACTAAGATGACGACTATAACGACTACAACTACAACGACCACTTTCTGCACACATTCACACAATCTGTGTGTAATTACGACTAGCACACACCCATACATGTGCGTGTATCTATCTCAAACTTCAATCTCCTCAGTCCCCCTGTGCTTTTCACTCCCTCTCTCCCACCCCCCACTCACCCACCGTTTTCATTCCGAACGAAGATGACAGTGGGTAAAGAAAAACGAGACATATTGGCCTGGATTCAGTCAGTATCATCGACATCGACATTTTTGCATCCGCTATTTACACACAAGTAGTTCGGAGCCGAAACAACAGGAGTTTGGTGTGACCGCGCAGGCGCACGCTCAAAACGTGTGGTGTACACACACGCGCACGCGCACGCTTTCTTGTTTGCCTGTGTGTGTGATGCCTGGTCTCTCTCGCTCCCTCTCTCTGTGTTCCTCGGTCCGAATTCGCCAGGTCGTGAAGTGAGATGAGGTGACCGTAAGCGGAGTGTGTATGAGTTGAATTTTGTCCCAAAACGGAACTCGCACTGTCCTGGTCTGTGGCTGTCTATAACTTGGCTGTGCAATGTGCAATGTCAACGTAGCCATCTTATGCTGGTCCAATCCATCCCAAGACCCCTGCGGTATTAGTAGTTCAACAAATCCTCCGTTCTTTCCNNNNCTTCCCCCCCCCCCCCAACTCCCGCCCCTGTGGCCTCGCCTCATCCTGTCCCCGTTTCTATTTACGTGCCTCAGAAAAAAAAAATGAAGACAATATTCTTCCGCTTGACGGGATGCAGAATAAAAGCAAATCGCGTGTTCCAACGGGAAACACTACGGTCACAATTAGGCACAACACACAACGAAGCAGAACTACTACAACTCTGTTGTATGAACACAGAGAGAGAGAGCTTAGAGAACACCCAGCCCATAACAGACAGATCGAGCAAGAGAGAGAGACAGAGCGAGAGCTAGAGAGAGAGAGACGGTTGAGGGGAACCGGATATGTGGAATGCACATGTGGTGCGATACAAAGGCGGGCGGC